ACCAGCAAAGTGAATGGCAAATGGCGAATAAGAGGGCAAGCAATGAAGGAGACGGCAAACTGCAAACAACAAAGGAGAGCCACAGCAGCATAGTAGTGAACAACTTTGACTTGGTCAAGTTGAATGTTCTCCGAGAGTGACGCCATAACAGAGTCAAAACAAGGTTGTAAATTGGCGGAATAGGTTGTTGGAGCTTTTAAAGAGGGGAGGTAAGTGAATCTTTTGTTGGTGGCAGTCGGTTGTAATCTGACTTGAGGGATGATGGGAGCTAGATAGAGGTGGCGGTAGATGGTGGAGTGGCTAGGTGTGGCTAGTCACACAGTCGTGAGGCTTTGCAACGTGAAGGAGAATAGTGTTGGGGCGATGGCTTTGCACAAAAGAATGGTGGGTTTGGGTTTTAGAGTTTTTTAGGGTGTGTTCGTCAATTTTAAAAGAAAAATGCTATCCTTACAAAGACCCATACAAAGAGAGTTACAAAGTGACATCATCCAGAAGAAAAAAAACAAAGAAAAAACAGAAAAAAAAGAGAGAGAGAGAGAGAGAAATCATGAAAATCAAGGATGAAGATTGTCTTTGTATACCCCCTTTGTATGTGTCTTTGTAAAACTAGCATTGCTCATTTTAAAAACTATAAATTATATAGCCTCCTATTAGTTCAAATATACCCTCGAGCTCCCTAAAGCTCACGAGCCTGACGAGCTAAGCATTGGCTGTTCGAACTCAGCTTGCCTGTTGATACAAGCCACTCAAGCTTAAGCTCAACTCGACTTATACCTGTACTTACAACTATACTCAGATGACTCTCCAACTTTGCATATAAAGTCTAGAATTCAGATATTGTCCTTTGCTTAATATTTCCCCTTAAACTAAACACTTCTTCATCCTAAATTTCTACTCCATTATTCACATACACCTTGTCAACTTGTTGTTCTCATCTCAGCATTTCCCCTTAAAATAAACACTTTATGTTTCTACCTCTTCTTACAACCTACAACTTGACTTTACTGTCTTTAACTTATAGTTTTTTACAGTCCAAACTTCCTCACACAAAACAACTACAACTTCTCAGCTCACATTAACTCTTACAATTGCATTACATCAACTCAACTGCAATTATTCATAACAACAACAATTCCAGTTTGTCAATCTTCATTTTGCATAGCTCACATAAAACCTTACTGTTGTATTACACCAACTCAACTACAACTTTTACAGGACAACTGTTACAGTAACTACAATTCTGGTTCACAAACTTCATTTTGCATAAGTCACATAATACCTTACTGCTACATTACACCAGCTCAGCTACATTGCTCCCACTAATCACTGGTCGTCGCTATGTTTAGGATTATTCCTTTTCAAGCCAAATTCCAACCGATTCCGACGCCCAAAATCCTACCTCTCACCACCCCAGCATCACTGGCCCCCCATCACCTCGACGTCTAGTAGCTCGTCGAACGTTGTTCGTCGCAAAAGCCAAACTTCAGTCGTCCTTACACAATCGATCATGATTGTCACACGACCTCACCACGCACACATTGCTACAACTACCCAGCCCCTCATCTCCTCACCTCCATACACCCCAATCCAGCCATCATCACTCACCGTCGATGCCCCACAATCCACCTGTGCACGACTACTATTTGCGATTTTTCTAGGTTCTTCTTTTGATTTCGTTGATTGATTGTTTGGTTGTGTGAGGAAGTTTAACTGTTTAGTTGAGGGTGATGAATCTTGTCAATTTGGGTGATTTCGTTTGTGATTTTTCTGGGTTTTTTTTTCTTTTGATTTCATTGATTGATTGTTTGGTTGTGTAACGAAGTTTGATTGTTTAGTCGAGGGTGATGAATCCTGTCGATTTGGGTGAGAAATCCGACAGGGATCCATGAAAAATTGATGGCGGCCACATTGGCAATGGTGGTCATTCATAGAGGAGTGTGATCTAGGATTTGGAATGATCATTTTACCATTTAATCATTATATTAAACAATTTTTTGTTAATTTAAAGGTAAGAATATGAAATATGTATATGAAACAGGGTTGGGAATTTGTCATTTCGCTAAACCTTGAGTGGAAACATTTCGTTTGGTCTAAGTTCTCGTCAACAAAGTGTCATCCATAAAAATTAAGACGTAAACAACGTCTTTGATGGAACATGTCTCAACCGTAGCATTTCCAGTCCCTAATTCATTTGAAACACGAACATTAATTATTAAGTAACCATCATTATTTAAAAATGTACGATATAGATAATTCACAACATTCCCTTAGGCCTGACAACTTTAACATGTTAAGGTTTCAAAGCACTAAAATGTCTATTATGCCCTTCTTTCGTTTATATTTAACGGTCAAATCTTTAACGATGTCAAGTTTTGGGTATTAAATTGTAGTTTACAATTCAAGGGGTGGGAATGTAATTTCACAAAACCTAGGGTGGGCAATCGAATTTTGGCCTAAATAAAAGTATATGTAGAGTTATAAATAATGTAAATAAAGCATATGCTCTAGAAGAATTTCTAAAATTGATTGATTAAAGCCAATTGTTGTCAAGCTGTTTAAGTATAGAGAAATTCATTCTATTGAATAATTTTACTATAAATTATCAAATTCCTGAAGCTTTTTCACTATAGTGAAAATATATTTGCCGTAGTGAATCTTAGTTTTCTATTCATTTGCTGGAGAGAATTGAACTCATCGTAGAGAAGACAAAAAACAATAGACGTTTTAGGGTTTATTTCTTATTCTTATTCATTAAGAAAATGTTAGAATCGTCATTAAACATGTTAGTGACTTAGGGTTACATGTAATGCATGCTAATAAATACATACTTTTAACCTAGGTTTTGCATATCTTAGAAGAGCAAAGAACATGTTCCCACCCAAGGTAAAGTAAAATCACAAGTCCCCACCCCTGGTTTTATAAATTTCAGATTCCCACCCTTATATCAATACCATTACTAATTTTTGAACTCTAATGAAATATAGAAAATGATATTACCAAACTGCCCTTAAAATAAATTAATAAATTACTTTTTTAACCACCAATCCACTAAAGTTAAATTTCCTTTTTCCCCTCACATTATTATTTCTTTTATTTGCCACTCTTTCTTTCAATTTTTCTCTCTCTACTGAACCTTCCTTTCTTTCCGATCAACTCCTTCCTTTCTCCTCCTCTTTCCTTTCTTTCTTCTCTTCTTCCTTTCTTTTTTCTTCTTCAGTCTTTCCTTTCTTTCTTCGCTCCTTCTCTCTATGGTTGATTGGCCCTCGCGTGGGTTTAGGTCGCCGCATGAGGGCCTCGTCACGATTGAATTTTGGCCAAATCGCGGCGGCCTGATTTGGACTTGGTGGCTAGAAAAGAGATTGTTGATTGAATTGTTAAGGTGGGTTCTCAGAAATATGAATTTTGTGTTGTTTGGGCTTTAATATGGATGGTTAATATTCGTGGTTTCTCCAAAAATGATTTTTCCTTTGAAACATTATATTACCTCATTTTAATGTGTTTGATGGTTTCATTCAGATGAAATTATGGGTATGTGCTAGGGATTCATCAATGTTTTGATTGATATTGATATTTGGGCCAATGTTGATAGTGTTTTGTTCCTATTCTAGCTTTTGTGATTGGCAATTTGGCATTGATGTTAAGAGTAACAGTGATTTGATGAGAAGGAGAGAAGAAAGAAAGGAAGGAGTTTACAGGAAAGAAATGAAGGTTCAGAAGAGAGAAGTGAAAGAAATTTGAGATGGGGAGGGTACTTGCAGAGAAATTTGAGACGTGGAGGTTTATTTGGAATTTTCTTTTTTATTTCGGATTTGATGTTGTGCAAATGACTATTTGACCCTTCGACTGTCATATTAAACGATTTCTGTCCATATAAGGGTGAGAAATGGAATTTATAAAACCAGGGGTGGAAACTGTAGATTCGCGAAATCTTGGGTGAGAAAATGTCGTTTACTCTATCTTAGAATTCTAGAAAGTAGTTTAGAGAAAGGCTTTCATATAGGCGTCATTGTGCTTAAGGGGGAGAAACTTAGAGATTAATTCTATGTTATTTTCTAATGAAAAGTATTTCATAAGAAGTTCTCTAGATGATCAAAACATAGGATTAACGTCGGTAATTAAATCAATTGATGCTTTGCAAGAAAAGGCTCGTGTCTAAAGCGGAAAAAAGTTTAAAGACAAAAAGGAAGTAATTTTTTAAAGGGTAAAAATTCTTTTACAAAATTGACCCTTATCTTTCTTATAAATTTGGAATCTTGACACAATAAAATCTTAACATCACTTGGTGACTATAATATACTGACTAGTGCGACAGACACCCAACACAAATAATCACCTCAATTTTAGGTGTATATTATGAATCAAATTAATCTTAATGTCATTTGCGTGCTTGAGTGAGTATAAATAAAATTATACCTTTTCAATCAAAACAAAAGTAGAAATGTTTGAGTTCTCACGAATAAGGAAGCGGAGGAATGTTAATCACTATTAAGTGATTTGATAGTAAAAGAGTAAATGAAGATCTAATTTACATGATCACCCAAGTTTGAGTAATCATGACTGCTAATAAGGGTGACTATTAGAGTTTATACTAAGTCGGTAATTCTAAGATCCCAAGAGACTAGTCAAGGAACATGCAAATTAACCCGGACACCTCCGACTATTAAAAAAAAAAAATTAAAAAAAGTGAAGGTTAATTGAGGAAACAAAAATCTTGGGGCCTCACCTATTTCTTCGTTGGCACTTGGCACCAATTTCCTCTCACCCATAAATCATAATTGAATATGTATTTGAAGCTCTGCAAGTTGCATGAGACCAGAAACGTGGAGGAACATTGACTTAATTTATTTACATGACATGTCAAGTCCAATCATTAATAGAGCTGATGACTGATGTACAAAATACAGGATGCCAAAGTCATCAATGTAAATAAATTGAGTGTTAAGCTCTATATGTATAATGTAATAATAATCTAGATAAACTAAGACGTAAACAGCCTCTTTTAAGCTTTGTCTTTCAGAACAAGCTGACTAAAATTTTACCATAAATCAAAACTGAGCCTCTTATACATTTTGTTCTTTTAACCAAACACAACTACCTTACAGAAACACAGGTTAGGTGGGCTACTTTAAACATCCTTGTTTAAAATTGTAGTAAAACCCTATTCATTAACAATATTGTAATCACCATTTGATTCCTCCAAAGGTCTTTTGAATATATTGAGTCGTTCTGATGCTTTGTTCACCTGGAGAAAGAAATAACATTAATCATAAAATCTTTTAAGTGCTGTTAGTTATTTAGATTACCAAAAAGATATTATAATAATGACAGAAAAGAGTGTAATAACAAAGTAATTAATACGAGTTATTTTTGCTGTTAGAAAACTTTTTAAAATTACAAATAAATAAATTGTTCTGCCACTTTAAACAACTTTTACTGCTATTATTTTAATCCCCCCTTAAATTGCAACCAAATAGCAAAAAAAAATTAAAAAATTAAATCAGAATATAAGAACCTTTTTATCTTTTGAAAGCACTTTTAATGCTTCCCTATTTGATTTCTTTCATCACCAATCTTAACTTTCATCATATTTTGTCTCTCTCGTTAAAACAGTTTAGTTTTCTTTCACAATTTCGTCAGTAATTTCTTTTATATATATAATATATATATTTACAAATTCGTCGATAATTTCTTCTTTGTTGTCTTATCATTTGCCAGAAAACCTACACACATTTATTCATTTATTGAAATGTATTAGAATTGAGTTATCTTTTTTTTTTTTGGTGAGTTCATCTTACCACGCTATTCCAATCAGTTGTTGAGGTTATGTAGCCAAAGCAAGTGATTGAATCACAACACCCACAATCATCCCAATCCATATACCCTGTAATGAATCAACACTTTCTTTAGCGTATTATCAACTGTCCAAGTAAACCATCATTTTAAGTGAAGATTATAGATTCTCTCATATGCCTTAATATAGAGCAATTTGAAAAAGATAAGAGAGCTTCTTACCTTTTTTTCAGATTACCTACATATCCAAGAAGACTCCACACGGCACGCCATAAAATAATAGCTACAATTGTTAATATAAGCAACCATAGTTTGGCGGCCGGAACCTACAGCAGCCCCTGCATTAACAAATTAAACAGAATGCTTAGAAAATTGGAAATACCATTACTTAAAACCTGTCTTCAGAACGCACCAGCGGGCGTCGGAGAAGCACAACACAGCGTCACTAACTACATACTTCACCGACAACGTTTTTGGTGTCGTTCCAGGGCTGGGAAAGAAGAGAAGTAAATCAGTTATTGTTGTACTAAATGAAATTTTGTAGAACATACCTGTTAATATTGCCTGACCACTGTTTAAAAAAACCGAGAAAGCCATAGGACAGAAAGACTTGAAACGTTTTCTGCTACTAGTTCATCACTTGTAATATATGTAGCCAATTCTATTACCAAACACTAACCACATTATCCAAAAAAATACTCCCATCAAAATTGCAGTAGTTAAGTTGACTCTGATGGAAAATGTTGCGCCTTAGCATTTCCACTCCCCAATTCATTTGAAACACGAACACTGTAATTATCAAGTAACCATCAATATTTTATATAAGTATGAGTTTAAAAGCTAGGATAACTGGATTTTAGTAAAATTGAACCGCCTCACCACAAGCTACAACGAGCCCATACATAGCATTAGTTCCCAAGCTATGATATTGACGCTACAAATTAAGTCAACTTGATTTAGTATATTTCATCATATTAATTTATATCTTAACAAAAGTAACAACAGGAACGAGTAATACTTTTCATATCCCAACCTAAATGCGTTTTTCTAATGTGGCAATTTCATGAAACATTACTGAAAATTAAAAAATGGATAACATTCCGATTGTAATTGAATATATGGAAATAACTTACCATATGGAGAAGGCAGAAAATCTCAATGTGGCATTTTTCAGATATCCTGCCAGTAGGACTATAACAGCGTTGTACCTAATTCTAAGCTATTGAGCTAAAAGCAAAAACATCATATAAGGGTTTAGATATGGTATTTAATTAATTGAGAATTTATTTGTATGAAGAATTATTTTGATGCATATATACGTACTAACCATATCATCAACTCTGAGGATATTGAGAGTCTTACTGCGGGAAACAATCAGTGAAAGCAGCTAATGTAAATCCTCTCCATGTATCAGGGCACCAGCCGCCGAAGATATACAAGAACAGTGCTATGTCACTAACCACTTGCTATGATCATGGCACCCATTGCGCAGAAATCCCCAAGTTCAATTTGGTGACGAAGATCCATGAAAGAAGAACATGATGCAAATGAGGCGGCGGATAGCCATCCAATTATCATATTTTTGTGCTGGGATTGTAAAAACTGTTGCATGTTAAACATAAAGGCATAAGAGTAGATGATAGGTATGAACCAGGGGGATATTTCCTGCTTTACTTGCTATATCTTCTTCCTGACAATTAGTTGAATATAGGAGTTGAAAAGATAAACACAGGCGTCAATAATGTAGCAGTAGTAAAGTTGATGATCCATGATCTTTGCAAGTAAATTCCCAACATGTGGTATTGTTTTGCCCCAAATGCTTGTCCAGACATAGTCGAATTCGCGCTTGACATGCCTACCTACAACATGAAATTAATGTTAATATTAGTTACCAATAACTGAGTTGTTCATCATTTGAGTAATGTCAATGCATGTACAAAGAAAAGCTTGTACTTTATAAAGTTTTAAGAGAGAGGACAGAAAAGAGAGAGCATACTAAAATAAGCACATTAATTATAAGTTGATGTATTATTGCATCAATAACCACTTGAGTGTGGGAACTAGATTCCTAAAAGATATTTAGGCAGGAGGATGAGTTCAGCTCGGATGGAATTTTACTGGGGTTAACTGAGAAATAACCCTTAGGTTCTTCTTGGGAGTGTTTTTTCCACTGGTTTGGAGAGTTTTTAATTAGACTGGTTTTGAGGTGTTTAAAAACCATTACTTACCAGATTTTTTATAGACTGATTTTGACTGGTTTAAAAACCCCTTAAAACCAGTATAATGTATTTTTTAAGGGTTTATAATTGGGGTGTTTTGACTGGTTTTTAATTTTTATCTCAAAAAAACCCCTTTCCACGATTAATAATCCTTTTGCTGCTAAAAAAAAGGTCACAGAATAAATGTGCTTGATCCCTCACTCTTCTTCTTATCTGCTATCGGAGTTTCTTGTTTATCAACAGAACCTGAACCTGAACCAGCTTTTGAACCTGAGGTGGCGTTTTGTTTTTTGTTACTAGGAGGAGAGTGGTATTATTAGTATTGGTTGTTGGATTTATGTTGCTTCTTCTGGAGCTTCTTGGACCAGTCGTTACAGCTTTCTCTTCTGTTTTGACCTTCAACAAGCTGCTGCTTCTTTCTACAGAGGGCTGCTTTATATCAGCAGGCGGCTTCTTGTCATCAGTTTGTTGTTGTTGTTGTCGAGCAAATGTAGAAGAAGTGGAAGGTTTAGTAGAAACAGAACTGCGTTTACGACAGACAATAATGGGAGTAGATTGTTTATGTTTAGCAAGCAATGAATCAGATCTTTCAAGGTGGGGTTTCAACTGTGGTGGTAACGGAGCAGGAGCAGGTGGTAGTGGTGCGTCTTGTGAAGAATCAGACTTGTAATTTTCTTTCTTAATCTCATTAGAGAAAAGATTACGAAAGCTGAAAAAACACTCAGAGTTGATATTTTGCACTTTTTGTTAGGTTTTTATTATGGGCGTATATATATATAAATTTATCATTTTAAAAAACTATTAGAATAATTGAAAAATAAACTTTCAAACATAGGTTAAATGTTTTAAAAACCGTTACTAAAATCTCTCAAAACCGTTACAGTAATTTACCCTCAAAACCATTATGATGATTTACTTTTATAATCCGTACCGTAAAACTACCAAGCACACCTAAGGTAATCTCAAGTAAAACCCAACTGGTCGAGAAAGAGAAAACTGACCTAGCAAAAGCAGAGAAACTGATAAGATAAAGTGCTAGTGTTCATCTCACTAAAAGAGTATTCAATCCAAAGTGTTCAAAATTACAAACTGTCGTCAGTAATTTCTTTTTGTATATATATATATATATATATATATATTTTACAAATTCGTCGATAATTTCTTCTTTGTTGTCTTATCATTTGCCAGAAAACCTACACACATTTATTCATTTATTTAGAAATGTTATTAGAATTGAGTTTTTTTTTTTTTTTTTTGGTGAGTTAATCTTACCTGCTCATTCCAATCAGTTGTTGAGGTTATGTAGCCAAGAGCAAGTGATTGAATCACAACACCCACAATCATCCCAATCCATATACCCTGTCAATGAATCAACAACTTTCTTTAGCGTATTATCAACTGTCCAAGTAAACCATCATTTTAAAGTGAAGATATTGTAGAATTCTCTCATATGGACTTAATAGTAAGAGCAATTTGAAAAAGATAAGAGAGCTTCTTACCTTTATTTTCAGATTACCTACATATCCAAGAAGAACTCCTACAGGCACGCCAATAAAATAATAGCTACAAATGTTAATATAAGCAACCATAGTTTGGCGGCCGGAACCTACAGCAGCCCCTGCATTAACAAATTAAACAGAATGCTTAGAAAAAATTGGAAATACCATTACTTAAAAACCTGTCTTCAGAGACGCACCAGCGGGCGTCGGAGAAGACAACACAGCGTCACTAACTACATACATTTACCGACAACGTTTTTGGTGTCGTTCCAGGGCTGGGGAAAGAAGGTCAGGAAATCAGTTATTGTTGTACTAAAATCAAATTATTATAGAACATACCTGTTAATATTGCCTGACCACCGTTTAAAAAAACCGAGAAAGCCAGTAGGGCAGAGAGACTTGAAACGGTTTCTGCTACTAGTTCATCACTTGTAAATATGTAGCCAATTCTATTACCAAACACTAAACACATTATCCAAAAAAATACTCCCATCAAAATTGCAGTAGTTAAGTTGACTCTGATGGAAAATGTTGCCGCCTTAGCATTTCCACTCCCCAATTCATTTGAAACACGAACACTGTAATTATCAAGTAACCATCAATATTTATATATAAGTATGAGTTTAAAAAGCTATGATAACTGGGATTTTAGTAAAATTGAAGCCTCACCCACAAGCTACAACGAAGCCCATACATAGCATTAGTTCCCAAGCTATGATATTGACGCTACAAATTAAGTCAACTTGATTTAGTATAATTTCATCATATTAATTTATATCTTAAACACAAGTAAACATACATGGAACGAGTAATATCAAGTCATATCCCAAACTCAATGCGTTTTCTAATGTGGCAATTTCATGAAACATTACTTGAAAATTAAAAAATTTGTATAACATTCAGAATTTGTAATTGAATATATGGAAATAACTTACCATATGGAGAAGGCAGAAATCTCAATTGTGGCATTTTTCAGATATCCTGCCAGTAGGACTATAACAGCGTTGTACCATAATTCTAAGCTATTGAGCATAAAATGCAAAAACATCATATAAGGGTTTAGATATATGTATTTAATTAATTGAGAATTTATTTGTATGAAGGAATTAAATTTTGATGCATATATACGTACTAACCATATCATCAATCCTGAGGATATTGAGAGTCTTACTGCGGGAAACAAATCAGTGAAAGCAGCTAATGTAAATCCTCTCCATGTATCAGGGCACCAGCCGCCGAAGATGTACAAGAACAGTGCGATTGTCACTAACCAACTTGCTATGATCATGGCACCCATTGCGCCAGAAATCCCCAAGTTCAATTTGGTGACGAAGATCCATGAAAGAAGAACATGAAGTGCAAATGAGGCGGCGGATAGCCATCCAATTATCATATTTTTGTGCTGGGATTGTAAAAACTGTTGCATGTTAAACATAAAGGCATAAGAGTAGATGATAGGTATGAACCAGGGGGAGATATTTCCTGCTTTACTTGCTATATCTTCTTCCTGACCAATTGGTTTGAATATAGGAGTTGAGAAGATAAACACAGGCGTCAATAATGTAGCAGTAGTAAAGTTGATGATCCATGATCTTTGCAAGTAAATTCCCAACATGTGGTATTGTTTTGCCCCAAATGCTTGTCCAGACATAGTCGAATTCGCGCTTGACATGCCTACCTACAACATGAAATTAATGTTAATATTAGTTACCAATAACTGAGTTGTTCATCTTTTGAGTAATGTCAATGCATGTACAAAGAAAAGCTTGTACTTTATAAAGATTTAAGAGAGAGGAGAGAGCAGAGAGAGCATACTAAAATAAGCACATTAATTATAAGTTGATGTATTATGGCATCAATAACCACTTGACTGTGGGAACTAGATTCCTAAAAGATATTTAGGCATGAGGATGAGCTCAGCTCAGATGGAATTTTACTGGGGTTATCTGAGAAATAAGTAAGGTAATCTCAAGTAAAACCGAACTGGCCCAGAAACAGAAAACTGACCTAGGAAAAGCAGAGAAACTGATAAGATAAAGTGCTAGTGTTCATCTCACTAAAAGAGTATTCAATCCAAAGTGTTCAAAATTACAACGAAGAATTACGTTAAAAAAANTCTACCATTCTAAGGACATATATCAATACATATTGCAATAATAATGATTTACGCGATATAGAATAAAATGCCTTTTATTGATTAATGAACATTATTACAAAGAGTCAATTCTACAATAATTGATTGGCTCTAGGGCATCTACTCTAACAGTATCCATCTAGTAAAAGCAAGTAATATCACGAGGTCCAAAATTAAGGAACAGCCATTCAAAAATGGTGAACAGTCATCCCTTAAAATTTGTTAAAATTAAAAGATGGACGCCTGTCCTTTTAGTTATGGATGGTCATCCTCATAAGAGGACGGATGTCCATAAACAATTTAGGCCAAATTTTTTTAGTTTAAACTATGAATGAGTGTCTATTCTAGATGGACGGCTGTCCATATAATATGGACGGGAGTCCATTTCAAATGAACGGCCATCCAATAACAATGGACGATCGTTCATATTTGATGGACAACCATTCATTCGCAGAATATTTGTTAACATGATGCGTGACTCATCTGATTTAGTGGACACGTCGTTCAATGTAAAAATTTGGTGCAAAGCATCGGTGTCCGTAGCATTTTTCTTAAAACATATATGCATAAGCTTCTTGAACGTATGAAATTAAAAAAGAAAAAAATAATAGATTTAAGAAATCCGAGTAATTTACCAAAGTAAAGATGTGAGCGAAATATGAGTTTCTGCAATGAGCTTCAAACTTCCTGTTGAGTAAATATTTTCTCTCTTTATGTCTGTCCCTTAGAGTAGTGTACAAAGATCACAGAGCAAATAGTAGACAAATTTAAGTGACAAAAAAAAAAAAAAATAGATAAAAAAATTTAATATATTTGGTAAAAGTATTTGTCATCAAACTCCTACCTTGTAAAAATTGGTCTATTTTACTCTAGAACAAATAAATTAGATACATTGGCTTCTTAACACAAAAATAAAAATTTGTTTCTTTGAAGAGAGACTCTATAGAGAAAATATATGTAGCAATTTCCTTCTTTTTGTCATAATTTCTTGCTGAACACCTATATGATATCATAGATCAATGAAAATGCAACTGTTGTTAAAGCTTACCGCTTTGAGTGTTTTGCAGCAACCGATTGATTGACCTTGAACTGATAACTGTTTCTAATGGGAAGGAAGAGGACTTCTCTGTATTATAAAGTAAGTACAACTCATATTTATCCTTTTTCCCCTTGATTCATTTATGTCTCACCTTTTCACCTTCTTGATTCATTTACTATTTTAGGTTAGTTCTATAATTTTTTCACGTAAAAATAGCAAGTTTACCAAAAGGTATGTGTGTTCTCAAGTTTGGTGAGTGCCAGTAAGAAGAAAAGCTAAATATTACTGTGGAGGGGCCTTTAATATTTGGATATATATTTGAAATATATTACTTAGATCTTTACTTTTTCTAACATATTACTCAGTGTTCTGAAACCCGAACCAAGGTGTCATTGGCCAAGGGGTTGGGTCCCAGGTTCGCCGGTTTGACCAGTTAAACTAGAAGTCTAATCGGTGATCCAGCAAGTTTGAAATCTAGTAAACACACCCTTGAGAAATATCATCAGTCCCTATAGGTTTAAAATCCAACAAACACACCCTTGTGATCTAACCGTAAAGGTTTTGCTTTTCTAGAACAAATTTTGCCTTATTTCAACGAGCAAAATTCAAGTGATGTAATAATGGAGAAGGCCCCGAGTTATGGTCCGATCGGTTAAACCGGCCGAGCTGGGCCAGGCTGAGTTTCAAAACAGTGAATTATTACAATAAAATCTCTCTATAATCATAATGGTGGGATACAACTAATTTATTATTATAAGGAGGTTATAACTTAGTATAGATGTAATTACAGAAATGACAAATTTGATTTCTTATTTTATAATTCACGTTTTAGTAGTATGTATTAGGATTTCAATTCATTATTTTAGTAGTCACTACTGCAATCAGACAAGAAGAGAAAGGAAATAATCATGAGGATGATAATGCAGAAATACAAAAAATTTCGTGGTAAGAAGCTCTAAACATGCCAAGAAGCTAAAAGTATTTTGGCTTCAACAAAAAAGTGTCTATGCTAATGAGTTATTACGTATCCGTAAGTTAAAAGATATGGTAACAACTTTAAAGCATAAATCATTGTCTCAAACAATTTTAGATAAATATTTTATTTCATCTTAAACTTTTGATATAACATAGCATATATTTTTTTGTTTTTGTATTTTTTTTTTTTTTTTGGCAATTCGTAAATAATTATTACTATGTGGAGGTAATTTTCTTAAGACGGGAATCAGAAAAACTATAAATTATTACAATGTAAGTTTATTCTTATTTATAACTACCCCAAGTTGAGACTAAAATTTGTTATAACTATATAAAAGTTATTCTTATATACAATATCACTATACAGAGGTTTTACTGTACTTATAAAAATTCATAGTCTAATTGAGATTTTTCAGCTTTAACTTATGACTTCTTTGATTCTAGTCTAATTGACTTCTACTTGAAAAGAAGAAATCCTTTTTCTCAATAAGACTTTTTAATGTTAAGTTAATTACGCCACAGTGCAGGACCACACGGGCACTATATGGGGGAAATCATATCTCTTTCATAATTTATTCAAAATTATGTACACTCCATGATCCTCCTTTTTCATTTTGCCTTTATTTATAAGGCTTCACAATGTGAAAAGACTTTCTCTGTATGTAAAGCATTCTTGGTGACACATATTTAATTTTTTAGTTTAATGTTTAGTTTTTTTTTAGATTATCTATGTGTTAGGGCCAAAATTTATCCTTGGCCCAAATATGGAAACGGGACTGACAGTGGGGAAAATTCTAGGCCCAATCCTGATGCGGCCCAATCTAAAACTCACCAGGATCAGGCCCATTTGATACTAGGTACAGTCAGCCCAAACCATTCAGATACAAGCTTCCTAGTTCAGGTCCACTCCCTGGATCCATGAATGAATTCAGAGCCCATGGTCACCTACAGATCACATTCCTATTCAAACACAAGTAAAAGTAGCCCACTACAACCCCAACTCCTCCAAGGTCCGTGTCAGGGTCATACCTAGACTCTTTTTCATGCCGGGATAATGGGACTAGAGGATATGTCCCGAGAGGGAACGGATTACTA